GATCAGATCAGACAGGGTATCAGCAGTGGTTTGTGGAATAACAGCAAATTAACGTTTTCATGGTCATCAAGAATGATAGTTGCCATAGAAATGTAGACTGGTGGGATTTTGCTGTGGGAAATCATTCTAGATTGGGCTTGCTGCTGTCTCATGCTCATCTCTTGTTTTCTTTTTAAAGGGCAATTCTGTTGGTGTCTGTGGTGGATTTATGGTTCGGTAAATTTTTCTCCTTTGAGGTCTTGGCAGAACTGCATGCAAGAAAAATTATGTTTTGTTATATGGGGGGATTTTTCCTGATGGGCAGCAGGCATAGTTAATTTACTACTACTTATGTTACTCTGGATATCATTGAAATGTGTTGACTGTTGTGAGTTGTAAATGTACTGATAGACTTTGCAGTTATATCACATAAAATTTGGCAGGAGAATGTTCTTGTGTGGTTGGGTAAGTACATAAATTTCATATAAAGTTAAAAAGCAAAACAACTTTTTCTTAGCGAGGGTCTCTGTGTTTCTGCTACATATATATTAAGAATTTACAAAGACTCTTAACAAGCATTTAATGTCATGATAATAGTGTTTATAGCCTGCAGTTTGTAACATTTCATTCTTATTAACACAGTGACATGCTTCTGCCTAAAATAATTTGATTTGTTTTCTGAGACATATTTAGATCAAAGGGAGGCCAAGAACAATGTAAAGGCCAGTTCTCGAAATTGGTTATCCTGAGTAATTGGACCAATGTGTCTGAGCACTTCAGGTCACGTGATTTTACCAAGGTTCATTCCAGTTTAGGTCAAACCTCGGTGCTAAGTGTTTTCTTTCGCTTTGTTCATATTTCACTTGTATACAGCTAGGGAACCAGTTACTGGATTGTCATTTGTGAAGGAACTTACAGAGAAACTAAAGGATTTAATATTGTGTAAACTCGTAGATAAAGGATTTTGGTAACTCAATTTTTGCATCGTAAACCACCAGACAGTGTCGAGCATTTCGCTGATCCAGAGGAATAAGGAATGGATTTTATGGCTGATACAAACAGACACTACCTTTTGTTTATATGAAGGCATTTCTTTTGCTGTAGCTAATATAAACATATGTTGGTGGCCATAAAGATATGCATAGTCATATGATTACAAATACATTGGACTATATTAAAAACTCTAAGCATCTGCTTTCTTTTCAAAGGTTTTTCAAAATTTCTTCAACAGGCTAGCTGGAGTGTGTAAACATGTGGGTGCACTTTCTTCAAAAGTTAGAAAGGGAGACAACAAATCATGCAAATCAACACCTCAGGCCTGGGAAGACCTTCAGCTTTAGCTGAAAAACGTTACTCTGCCAGCAGATTGTCAAACATCCAAGTAAAGAAAGCCAAGGTGCACAGAGGCAACTCCCTTGTCTCTTGTTTCCTCGCTTTCAGATATAGTAAATCAGGTCTTATGGAACAACACGTTTATATGCATTGATTCCAGATCAGTTTATAGTAAAAAGCTTTTTGACGCAGGATTAATAAAAATTGGCAACCTCTATGATGAAAATGGCGAGCTTAAATTGGATAAGGAGCCATGGCGTTCATCTCTCTCACCAGTCGATCGCTTCCTAATTTTCCGTCTCCTCAATGCTTTCCCACAAGAATGGCGTAGAGAATTGAAACTAAATAGGACTTCTATCTACGGAAACACACAATACCAAAATCTAATTAATTTCTCCCTGTGGGTTGATGGTGAACAGAAGACTTTACAGAAGCTTTATTCAAAATCATTGTAACAGATTTTCGTCTCTAAGATATCTAGTATACCAACTGCAATGAAGAAATACGACAAAGCATTTAATACAGACACATTTCATCTTGATTGGGAGAAGATTTATTTACTGCCTTTTAAAACAACTTTGCATACCAAACTAAGGGAGTTTCAATATAAAAATACTAAATAGAATCTTATACACAAATGTAATGTTGTTTAAATTTAAGAAAGTAGACTCCCCATTGTGTTATTTTTGCAAAAAGGAGTTAGAGACTTTAGAACATTTGTTATTTTATTGTCCAAGAGTGCATGCTTTCTGGGATGAAGTCACTGTCATGTTAAACTCACAGGGCATTACTTTGAAGTCTCCTGATATTAAAGATATAATTGTTTTTGGTTTTTTTGACGCGCCTAATCATGACAATGACGGAATCCTTCTTAATTATATTGTACTAGAAGGTAAATATTTTATTTATCGCACAAAGCTAAATAAGACTTCTCTATCCTTTAAATCCTTTTTCAAAAGAATTAAGAGTACGTTTCAAATAGAACGTTTTATAGCCAGAAAAAATAGTAAACTTGAGATCCATTACAACAAATGGAAACCCCTCCTTCAACTGATAGAACAATAGCTGAATTAATTTATTATTTATATCAATACGCGATGCCTCTTTTTCTTTTTTCTTTTTTTCTTTCTTTTCTTTCTTTTCTTTTATTCTCGTAGTCCAGTGTAGTGGTATTTTCTTTGTGTAATAGAGTAGTGTAATGTAAATTTATGCATGTAGAAATCTGTGTTGTATCTTGCGTGCTTGTAAAAACTGTAAAAACCCAAAAACAAATAAAATACAAAAAAAAAAACTCCCTTGTCCCTTTCCAGACCTACACTGTTACTAGGTCTGGATATGACTGTTTTGTCGAGAAATTCTATAATCGATCATTAAGTTAATTTATCCGCTACTGAGATACGTTATAATGATGTCATAACACTAATGTAAGTCATTTGTCAGATGTGGACCAAGCCTACTCACTGGGTAAATATCAAATCATCTCGTATATTTTATTATCTGAGCATTTCATAACAATGTAACTTCCTTTTAGGATTTGAACGCAGTTCTTTTATTGTCTGGCAGTAAAGTCGTCAATAAAGATGTTTGATAACAGTGAACTAACAACCCGCAACTGATGAAACAATCCTTGTGCAATAGAAGACAGACAGCCCATGAAATTAGACCAGGATGATTTGAACACCTAGCAGCTCTAACAAATGGTAGATGTGGTATCCTTCCTCATTCCGACTATCATGGAGCTAGTCAGAACCTGATATAAATGTTCATTCACTGAGTTCCCACTTGCAAAATGCAGTCAATATGATTTTATTTCACTCTCTGTGGATGATAAACTTACAATTGCACAAGCTCATGACTTGAGTAATGTAGCAACTGATGCCGATGTCCATTTGCAAGCTCTTCTGTCCAAAGGTAACCAACTGAGTATTGCCCATTTGAACACACAAAGCATGGTATCAACTTTTGATGAATTTCGGGCAAGAATGGTGGAGTACCCATAGATATCACTACCATGAGTAAAACATGGCTCAAAATTAACCTACACCTAACAAAGTATGTCACCACTCCCGGCTACAACTGTCTATTTCATAACCTCAATGCAATTAGAGGGGGTGGTGTGGGTGTTTATATAAAAGACCACATCAAGTATAAAAGAAGAAGTGATATTGAAAATAAGGAACCCCAAATTGAACATTTGTAGTTAGAGATACCCAGTCACAATAAACACAGCAAATTATTACTTGCCACTATTTATCGATCAGAATGCATTCTTGACTACAAAACATGGATGGAGCAATTTGAAAATCTCCTTGCCCGCATAACTGAAAGGGATGGTGCTTTACTAATCATGGGGGATTTCAACATCGATCTGCTTGATCCTCACTCAGCAATAGTTGTCCAGTATAAGAACATGTTAGATTCTCAGAATCTTCACCAGCATGTTAAAGTACCTACCTGCGTCATGTGATAATCAAGTAGGCTGATCAACCATATAATATCCAATGCACCAAACCAGGTAACCTACATCAATGTTCTTCCTTGTCCAACTGTCTGTGATCATGATCTGTACGAATGTTTGTGCGAAGCGTTTTCAACCACACTTCAAGTTCATGAGAAATGAAAAGGAACTTGACTAACAAAAATTCATTGAGGATTTTTTAAAACTACCCTTAGACCTCATCTACACTGCATGTCTACATGTAGTCGCTAATTCAACATTCATTTCTAAGCTCCAAACAATTGAGATCAGTTATATGATTTAAATATGTACGAGCTTTAGGGAATCTGCAGTAAGGATAAAATAAAAACTACAACAACATGTCCGACTCATTTCTTCTGCATGTTTTTGAGCCTGCTATGCCCTATGGGAGGCACAGGCCTCCCAACACTGGGACAAGAAATTTTTTTTTACAATGTTCAACAAAAGGCAACAACAGTACAAACGACATCAATGAAAATCTGGACTTATTTAATTCAATGTTTACTTCATGCCTTGACAGACATGCTTCTTTGAGGAAAATTAGAGTCACACACCCTCCTGTGCCATGTTAAAATCAGTTGATATTTAACAGCTTCAAATGCAGGGGAATGACCTTCGATATCAAGCCAATCAATCTAAATCAGAGGAAAAAGTTTTTTAGAGGCATACGAAATTTACTCAGAACAAAGATCACACATCAAAATGTACATTCCATCAAAAGGTACTTTGTCGAAAAAATTAAAGGTGGAGCTTTGGCGCATGGTACATTGTATTCTTAATTCTGACCCTAAGCCTATTGCTGCTGATCCTGACGAGTTGAACTTCCACTTTAAGAAGACCATGTAAAGGATACTGGAACCAATCCATCCTCATCAGAATGTCTGAAAAAATATATCACTTTTTTGTCAGATTATGGTAACTACTTCTTCTCACTATGTCCAGTCTCCCTTAAGGAAGTAGAACAGCAGATCAAAAGTATAAGAACTGGCTGTGGCACAGGTCCTGACCTTATTACAGCCAAGTATGCTAAGCTGACCGGAACTAGCGTGACTGTCTAGCGTTACAACCGGATATCACATTTAGTATTCATATGATTGACAAGTGAAATTGTAATAGGAGACAGAAGGGTATTGTGAAAGAAGGAGGTTTTTGAGGACAAACAACGCAAACAACACAAGGATCGTGAGGCCAGTTATTTTGTAACTTTTCGTTTCATTTTCGTTATTAAACCCGGGAATTGTCAGTAAGGAACTTTGGGAAGAAAAGATGAGAGCAGAATTGGAAATGGCGGAAAAGAAAATCAAAATGAAAAAAGCCGCGAAAGCCGCCAGTGCGAAGCTGCCCGAGCTCAAGATAACCCCTTTCAAGGGCACTCCAGTTGACTGGATCAGGTTTCAGAACATGCTTACATCACAAATACACGACAAACCATTATCCGATGAAGAGAAATATGGATATCTTTTGGAGCTGGTGGCCCCTAAGGTGAGAAGTAGATTAGCTAATTTAAAGCCGGGTGCACTGGGGTACAAAACTGCATGGGACAGGTTGAAGACTGAGTTTGGACAGAGTAAAACTGTTGTCGCTACACACATGGAAGAGATAATTAACTTGCCAGTGACCAGAGGATCAAATTACGAAAGGGTGTGCGAATTTTATGAGAAGTTGAGCAAGAATTTTGACGCATTACAAACTTTGGGGGAGGGAGAGATGCTCAAGGGTTTCGTTCTGTCAACCTTAAACAAGCTCCCCCAAGTGAAACCCGATCTGGTGAGGACAGATGAGGGGTGGGAAGATTGGAACATGGAAAAGTTGATTGATTCTATCCAAAAATGGCTCAAGTGCAACAAGACCGAAGACAATTATAAGGATCGAACAGATACAAAGAGAAAGAACGCCATCACTTTAACCAGAAGGACCCCCACTGCCTGTTCTGCAACCAAAACCGCTGGGGAGATTCGTGCCCAACATACAACAAAATCGCGAAACGGAGGGAATTCTTTATAGCAAAACAGCTATGTTACAATTGCGCCTGCTCAGGGCACACTGCGAAAGAATGTTGTAGCAGGGGATGCTATAGGTGCAAGAGCAAACACCACACCAGCTTGTGTGATAAGCCTAAGGGGAACAAGACGTAGGATCCCAACGCCACTCTAAGCAGATACACCCCATCCGTTGAGGAAAAGTCCCTACCTGCCATAGTACCACTGAAAATCTGGGGGACAATGTTCTGGGCATATCTAGACACAGGCTCAACTTACAGAAGAATCAAGATGGAGTGCTAGAGTGTTGAGGACGATTGCAAGGCATATATCCGATTTACGTCCCAGACTCTACAGTCTTTGCAGAGAAGTTGGTGCAACTAGCACATCTGGCCACTCTGGGAGTGAGCCTCACCATGGCCAAAGTTAGAGAACAGCATTGGATTCCACGTCTAAGGCGCCTGGTCAAGAAACTCATCAAACAGTGCAATGGTTGTAAGCGCTTTCAGGCTATTGCTGTTGCAGCCCCACCTCCTGGGCTGCTACCACTGGAGAGAATGGAGCACTCGGGCGTCTTTAAAGTGGTTGGTGTTGACTTTACAGGTCCTATTAAGTACAGGAAGTCTCCGCGCATGGAAGGAAAAGCCTACCTGGTACTGTTCGCTTGCAGCCTGACAAGAGCCTTACATCTGGAAGTTTGGCCAAACCAAGAAACTGCAACCTTCCTAGGAAGCTTAAAGCGCTTGATTGCTCACCAAGGATGCCCTTCCACTATATTCTCAGACAATGGACAAACCTTTATCGGAGCAGCACACTGGCTTAAAGAAATTCAGACGGACGAACAGCTGCAAGCTTACCTGGCAGAGAAGCGGATCACCTGGAGGTTCAACCTTACTCATGCACCTTGGTGGGGTGGACAGTTTGAACGGCTTGTGGGAGTCTTCAAACGTGCCTTCTACAAAACTATCGGGCGAGAAATGCTAAGTTGGACAGAGTTGTGTGAAGTGGTGCTTGAGGTGGAGACCCAACTTAATCAACGCCCCTTGTCCTACGTTGAAGATGATGTACAGCTCCCGCTACTCAACCTTGCAAGCTTCTTATTTCAGAAATCCAACCGCCTGCTTGAGCAAGAACTGTGGAGAGAGGAGGATGTTGACCTACACAAAAGAGCCAAGTACCTGAAAACCTGCAAAGACACACTGTGGAAGTGATGAAGCCGTGAATATCTTGTTGCCCTCCGAGAACAGCACAACTTGAAACACGAGGGGCATGCCACTCCCTTGTGCGAGGGAGATGTGGTAATTATCAAAGATGATGACCATAACCGAAACAAGTGGAGGCTCGGCATCATAGAGGACCTGATTGCTGGAAGAGATGGAATTGTGCGAGTCCCCAAGCTGCGAACCGGGAAAGCCACCCTAGGGAGAGCAATCCAACAGCTCTACCCATTAGAGTTGACGTGCGACAGAGCTGCTATAGAGAATTCAGTGCAACTTAACCCAGGCGCACCCACATTCAGACCACGACGAGATGCTGCAGTGGCAGCAAACCTGAGGATCCAGGAAATTGCTACTGAAATGGACTAGACAGGATTTCAAGGAACACTGAACTGTGATTAAGAACACTTGATTGACTGTAATTGATTTATGTGAGTTGGTTGTTAGTACCACTTAGGTTTAGTGTTTCTCTCCGTTGGAGACAAACAGGGGGAGTGTGTTGGAGATTGCGTGACTAATACAAACATTTCAAGATAATTATTTCGAGCGAGAACCTTTAAAACATGCGATGATAGGATATTTAGATTACATGTCAATGACAGTCAGAAATCAAAGATGGACAAGTGCCAAGTATCTCGTATTGATTGACAGCTTGATCGAGTAACTTAGATACAGGACACCATTGTTGACAGATCGTTAGTTTTTACATTGTATTGTATGATGTAGTTGAGTTGCCTGGAGAGAGTGAGGGAGTACTGTACCTGAAAACCGTGAATTAAATCACCTAAAACCAAGTTTATACTGTGATATCGTGAAGTTTGGCCCTAGGGCATTCGCGACAATGTTGAATTTTCACCTTTTTTTTCTCTGAGTTGCTTGAGCTGAGTACTCTAACAGTGTCTGTGTGGTGCATTTGGGGGCCCTTCCTTTGGAGGTCTATGTGGATAGCATCATGTGTGGCCTTTACCTTGGGAAATACCAGTCTCTTCACATGTCACACACTCACTTTCACCACTATGTTAAGGCATGTTTAATAAGTAAGCTTTGCCTTGAAGGTCATTGACCCAAGAAGCACAGCAACTTTGATATTACATGAAACTGTTGGTTCCTCTTGTGACAAAAAAACAATGTTATGTATGTATATTTCACATCATAAGGTTTCCTGAGCTAGTAGCTTGGTAACCAGACTATAATTGCCAGATACACTGTTTGATAGCACTAACTAAACAAAGCTAAATGTAGACATCAGAAAAACGAGTGGCTGAGCTTGATGACACTTATCTCTGGATTGTTATGTTTGAAAGACTTCTGGTGTATATGTCGTTGAGATGTTAATTTTGTACGAATGAACTCCTACAAAGACATGGGGTATGATATTCGCAGTCCCTGCAGGTCAACATACCATCATAGTTTGAAGACTTATAAAACCAGTACTTACCTTTTTAAAACAATTTTGAATTTAGAAGCATGTAGGTGTCTGGTAAGATTTGTGAGTGATTCTGATGCATCTTTGTTATTTCACGAGGTGACAAAAGTCCAAAATTGAAGTGAATTTGGGCTTCCTGTGTCTCTTTGGCTCTGTGGAAGAGTATTGGTACCCCAATATTGCTGAAATCAAGGTAGTAGGTCCAAGTTTATCAAAGAAGCAAAGTGAGTGTGGAATCTATTGTTTATGATCTTTCAAGCCAAGAAATTCTGTTTTGATGTGTAGTTTAGGGTTGTTTGAATACCAAGCCTTGAAGAAGAATATTTATCCCCACAAGATTCCATTTAAAGGCAATCAAAGGCCAGAGGTAAGGAAAAGGCGAATGAGGTGGATTCAGTTTATGAGTGTGAAGTGTACTAAGTGGACGCCGACTTTGAACTGACACATATGTTTAATACATTTCAAGCCAGAGGATTTCCCAATGAGATTCCCTGTTCTTAGGGAAGCTAAGCTATCTTTTGTGCCATGGCTTATTGTGGATGACATCGGTATCGCTGATGTTCCATTGATCCAATGTGCACTTCTTGGCAACTGTACTAGCAGTACCTCCTCAAGCATCTATGCAATGTCAACAAGAGATTGTTGACAGGTACATATTTCTCTGGGCATTTCTGTACTAAAGATATGAAGTTCAATTTTCATTATTTATTCTATAGATCCTAAAAAATGTCATGGCTGCAACAAGTAGTGATACTGCTGATAATGAACCATTGAAACACCTTGAAGTAACTGTTGACAGGGTGGTTGAAATGAAGTCCCCTGACTACAAGATTCCTCTAACAGAATTCTGCAATGCCTCAATGCAGATTGAAGATTGCATTGGTTGCAAGTCATACAATAAAAACAGGATCTTAGAAAATAAAGTGATTGACTTGAAGGTACAATTGCAGGACAAGAATGAATCTCTCAGCAACACTAAGAAAGGTTTGTGTAAGAGCAAATGATTAAAAAGCTATCCATTGAACCCTCTTATGCTTATTTTTATTGTTTTATTTCTTTAAGAGCATCAAAAGTTACCATCACAGCTGAAAGAAGGTAGTTCGGAGAAAAACAAGGAAGAAAAGGAGGAAAAGGTTGAGGAAGGCAAAGGCAAAACGGAAACAGAGACAGAAACTGACACAGAATCAAAGGGAGATGAAAAAATGTCTTGGTATGTAGCTATGGTTTATAGCATGATGATTTAAACTCTAAAACTTAGGTTTTGCTTCTGGTTTATTGTCTTTAGGCTTCCAATGGATGACATTCTCCAAAAACACTCCAAGTTTATTGTGTTTCTGTCTCACCTGCTACTGCTGTTTCCCATTTGTCCTGTTTGCCAAACAGATAATCCACTAGTGGAGACATGCTCAAAAGGGACAATGGTTGAAGTTAAAACCAACTTGCAAAAGCACTACTTGTCCTAAAAAGGAGCACATCTAGAAAAGGTCAGCCTGAAATGGAAGGGACAAAAATGCCTGCAAGGAATTTCTTGCTGTGTTTTGCATTACTTCTCTCTAGAAACTCTGCATACAAAGTGCCCCTTCAAACTCATGGGTTTGTAATGCATTTCCCTTAGAGGTTACTTCAGATATCAAAGGGTAAGCTTTCTATTTGTATATATTGGATTGTTTCCTGTCATCCAATATTTCCATTTGTATAATTTTTAAATATGTTAATGTTTGTTGGGTTGGCTAGCTGCATTGCTAATGGTCTGCCTCCTCTTTCCTCAATTGTAGCTAGCAATATGGAGAAGGGGAGTATTGTGTATTTAGACACTACCTTGCACAGCCCATAAGTGTTATAAAATTACAAAATCAATGTTTTAGGTGATAAACTTTCAATGTTTTGGTTAGGGGAAGCTCTTTCCTACTACATACCTATACTGGAAGACATGCCAAGAAAAAATGCTGGAATTGTTGAAAAAAAGTGAGAGGATATATATGGCAATAGCAGGATATGGGAGACATGACAGTATGCAACATGGTGCAAAACATAGTGCTTACACCATATTTTCTTGTACTATTCCCATGATTGTTTTTTTTTCTCTAGTCCAAGCAAGTTTCTTTTAAGTATCCCTTTATTTACCATGGATGAAAGGGATTTGTTACATTGTCAAGCTTCCTCATCTGAAAAAGCTTTCCAGACCCTTAAATAACACTTACAGACTGGACAAAATCCCTTTCCTTCTGTACATTTTGAAATTGAACATTAATCACAAGCATCCACTACTAGTTTACAAGACCAAAGCATATATTGTTTCTAGAATAAAAGGAGTATATGTGTGTATTTCTTCTTTTAGAGAAATGTTGCTGGAAGCAGCCCTGCCATGGAATATCTTGCCTTTCAGAACTGCATGGCCTACCTTCTTGGCAGTGGTCTCACCATGTCAGCTCTCATAATGAAATATTTGCCTTCCACAGAATGGAAAATGCTGTCTACTTTTGCTCTTCAGCAGAAAGATTGGAATCAGTCGTTAATAGCCGACAAGAATTTGTTTATGATAAACCTGGATAACCCAGCAGGCAACTGCAAATGTCAGCTAATAGTAATGGTGCTTCCAGCTTTGAACACTGTACATGAACTATACTTTTACAATTACCTTTTCTGTTTTAACATGACCAATAAATGTGAAAAGTTTTGGCTGGAAGTTTGAAAACACTAGTCTTTTAACTTGCAAATCTACAGAGAGAGGTGCCATTGCACAACACATCAACAAATTGTAGTTAAAAGA